CCCGCCCCCTGGGGGGGGCCCCCCCACCCCCCGGGGGCCCCCGCAAGGGGCTTCGCCATCTCCCCCCTCCGCCCCCACATCCACAGGGGGGTGCTGTACCCTCGAGTGCCGCAGCCTTACATTTTGGTGCTGCTGCTGCAGTCCGTTCCGGGTGTAGGTACAGCTGGGGACTTGCGCTATGTGCGCAGGGGCCTCTTCAGACACCACTTGGCCCGCAGCGGGCTGGCCGTCGCCGCCACTTGGCAAAACATCGACCAACTCCAGCAGCAGCAGCAGCAGCAGCAGCAGCAGCAGCAGCAGCAGCAGCAGCAGCGGCGGCAGCACCCAGCCGGCCTCCAGCAGCCGCTCCCAGGGGGCGCACTGGGACGCCTGGGGGCCCCCGGGGCCCCGGGGGCCCCAGGGGCCCCGGGGGGCCCCCTGGCCGCCGCGGGGGCCCCGGGGGCCCCGGGGGCCCCCCTGGCAGCCCCGGGGGCCCCGGGGGGCCCCCTGGGGGCGTTTGAAAGGGGCAGCAACTTGCCGCAAGATGACGGAGGGGTTTTGCTGTCGTGGGTTCGGCAGCTGCGGCTGCAGTTCGCAGAAGAAACTGAAGAAACAGACAACAGTTTGCTGCTGCAGCCAATCAGTCTGCAGCAAGTCTTAGAGAAACTGAGCCAAGAAGAAGGCCTGGACCTTCTCCCGGGGCAGCTGCGGCTGCTGCGCCGCAAGCTCGCGCCCCGGGGGGCCCCCCTCCCCCCGCAGCAGCAGCAGCAGCAGCAGCAGCAGCAGCAGCAGGGGGTGGAGGAGGACATGGGGGGCGTGCCGCTGGGGTGTATAGACAGGACAGGAGAGTACCACTTGCTGGCCATCCTCAGCAGCAAAACTCGACTTGTGGGGAGGGTTTTTTGTTTGGAGGTTTTCTCCAAGACGGAGCAGCAGCGGTGGGCCCGCGAAGCCCTAGGGTTTAGGGTTTCGCCTTCGCGCTAGGGTTTAGGGTTTCGCCTTCGCGCTAGGGTTTAGGGTTTCGCCTTCGCGCTAGGGTTTAGGGTTTTGCCTTCGCGCTAGGGTTTAGGGGTTCGCCTTCGCGCTAGGGTTTAGGGGTTCACCTTCGCGCTAGGGTTTAGGGTTTCGCCTTCGCGCTAGGGTTTAGGGTTTCGCCTTCGCGCTAGGGTTTAGGGTTTCGCCTTCG